TCTTCAACCAACTGCCTATCTTTGTCGATCCATAACTCTGAAAGTGGAAGAATATCCATTTCTTCTCCTGAGTACTTCTGCAAATAACAAGTGTGAATGGTATTATGGATACCTTCCAGTTCGGTAGGAAATTCAAGCTTGTAAGCTTGATTCCCTATCCTTTGAAGTACCTTGAATGGTCCTATGAAACGAGGACTCAACTTCCCATGCTTTCTTAATCTAATAAGTCCCTTCCATGGCGAGACTTTAAGTAACACCTAATCGCCCACATCAAATGTTATCGGTCGTCATTTCTTATATGCGTAGCTTTTTTTACGACTTTAGGCAACTAACATCCTTTCCCTAATGACTTTAAGCTTCTCGGCAATTTGATGTACTATATCCGGACCCGCAAAATGCTTCTCTCCCGCTTCTAGCCAACACGACGGTGTTCGGCACTTCCTTCTATATAATGCTTCGTAGGGAGGCATCTTGATGCTTGAGTGTCCTTGACAAAAGGGGAAAAGTAGTAGTTTACGCCGCAAGACAGCTAAAGCCCCACGAGCAGAATTATCCGACTTATGGTCTAGAGCTTGCAGCAGTGGTTTTTGCCCTAAAGATATGGAGGCATTATCTTTATGGAACCAAATGCAAACTCTATCGGATCATAAGAGCCTCCCATAACTCTTTGCTCAAAAGGAGTTGAATATGAGACAAAGGCGATGGATGGAGCTACTCAAGGACTACGATTGAGAGATACTTTACCACCCGCATAAAGAAAATATCGTAGTCGATGCCCTGAGTAGAAAGGTGATTCCTAAAGGAAAAAGAGCTAGACCGTTGAAGATTGACGTAATCTCAACGGTTATAGAGAAGATCAAAGAAGCTCAGACAAGGGATCTGGCTGAGAGTGGTCTGAAGGAGGAACGTCTAGCCAAGACGTTCATGTTTGAAGAAGACAAACAAGGGTTGAAGACGTTTAAGAATCGCATTTGGGTGCCAAAGATAGGTGGGATATGGGATCTTCTCATGGAAGAATCTCATAATACTATGTATTCTATACACCCAGGTGGCACCAAAATGTACTTAGACTTGAAGCCCTATTATTGGTGGCCAAAAATGAAGGTCGACATAGCAACTTACATAACGGAATGCGTAACTTGTGCGAGAGTGAAGGCACAACATCAGAAGCCATATGGGAGTCTGGAACCCTTACCAACACCCATAGGGAAATGAGATGATGTTACCAAGGACTTCATAATAAAGTTTGTTGAAGACAAAGATAGGTCACGACATGATATGGGTTGTAGTAGACCGACTTACGAAGAGTGCGCATTTCATAGCCGCATGAGAGAATTGGTCTATACAGAAGTTGGTAGAGACCTATGTAAGGCAAAATCGTAAGGATTCATGGAGTGCCCTTATCTATCATGTCAGATAGGGACATTAGATTCACCTCCAGATTTTGGAAAAGTTTGCAGGAGGAGTTAGGCACGAAGTTGTGTTTGAGTACTGCCTATCATCCGTAAACAAACGGACAAAGTGAGAGAACTATCCAAACCTTGGATGATATGTTGTGGGCATGCACCTTAGAGTTTCCGAGTAGTTGGGATGACCATCTATCCTTGGTTGAATTTTCCTACATCAATATTTATCACTCAAGCATCAAGATGCCTCCGTACGAAGCACTATATGGAAGGAAGTGCCGAACGCCGTCGTGTTGGCTAGAAGCGAGAGAGAAGCATTTTGCGGGTCCAGATATAGTACATCAAACTTCTAAGAAGCTTAAAGTCATTAACGAAAAGATATTATTTGCCGAAAGTCGTCAAAAAAGCTACGCATATAAGAAACGACGACCGATAACATTTGATGTGGGCGATTAAGTGTTACTTAAAGTCTCGCCGTGGAAGGGACTTATTAGATTCAGAAAGCGTGGGAAGTTGAGTCCTCGTTTCATAGGACCATTCAAGGTACTTCAAAGGTTAGGGAATCAAGCTTACAAGCTTAAATTGCCCACCAAACTGGAAGGTATCCATAATACCATTAACACTTGTTATTTGAGGAAGTACTCGGGAGAAGAAGTGGATATTCTTCCACTTTTAGAGTTAAGGATCGACAAAGATAGGCGGCTGGTTGAAGAGCTTCAATAAATCGTTGACCGTCAGACAAAGAATTTACATCGTAAGATGATTGACTTAGTGCTAGTGCGATGGAAACACCCAACAGGGTCAAATCTCACTTGGGAAATGGAAAGTGACATGAAGAGTCGCTATCCATATTTGTTTGCTGACGCATGATTCCGGGACGGAATCCTCCTAAGGGAAGGGAATTGTAACGCCCGCGTTTCTAGCTAGGCTTAGTAATCAAACATCTAACCCTTGTGGTCAAGTCATGTAGTCATTTTGTGAATGAATAAGACGGGATTATTCATATATTTTGTGCTTTTATGTTTTATATGATATTAAAATATATATTATATAATAAAATAAATAAGATTTAAAATACAAGTCAAAAATAAAAGATCCCTTAGGGAAAATAATCTCATCCTAGATATAGTATTCATAATTAGGGTCCCGTACATATCTAGAACGCCTCAATCTGACTTAGAACGAAGAAGTTAGGAAGCGCCAAAGTCTCGCGATAAAACCGACACGGCTACAGATAACGTAGAAAGTGAATATGGGTTAGATTGCTTTTTAGCTTAGGAAGTCTAAACGAAATTCATAGATGTTGTCAAAGAGAATTTGTGTGTTTAGGTAATGTCTAAGTCTGACTTCACTAGAGGAAGTTATGATTTTTCTAAAATTCGGCGCAACAGTGTGCGCACCAATATTAAATTTCAGATCGATAGATTGTTAGCCAAAACAATCTAAACGAGAGTTGAAGAACTTGGTGTTAGGATTCCAACGATATAAAAATCATTGAAAATGGATGCCGAATGTGAGAGTTATGAATTTTATACGGGCTTTAATAGGCCAAGCCTGTGTAAATAATATAAAGTCAAATTAGCTAATGGAGTCTAAAGGAAAGTTATAGATCTCGTCGAGTGTTTCTGTGGATATAATGAACGTCAAAAATGGAGCTCGTATGAAGGAGTTATGCAATTTTGAAAATCTGGAAAACGTCACACGCGCGTCACGCGTAGCTTGCGCGCAAAGTCAGCCATGTAGCCCCACCCAGATCGTGCCACGTGTCGGTAGCCCAGTGGATCGACGTCAGCCTTATATGCGGCGCGCCTCTTATTGCACGGCGTGTAAGACTCCAAACTCGCCAATACATACCAGCTCATTATTTCACTCCTCCCCACATCCTCCAGTTGATATTTGTCTGAAAAATTCAAAAGTTTGCCCATTTTTCTTCATTCTAGCCTGCGGCGAAGCCCTGCGACACCCTCGAGTGCTCAGCTTGCGATAATCTTCTTGTAGGAAGAACCTAAGTCAGTATTCTGCCTGTTTAGATCCCGATTCTCGTCTATTGTACTCTGTAAGTGAGCTACACTGCACTACAAGAAAAACGCGATTTTGCTAGGGAAGGTCGCTATGGAACGTCTTTTTGTTGTTAATCTGCAATAGATCGTGCTATGGAATGTCGTTCCATAGCTAATTTGCTACCACATTTTCTATGGAATTAATTTTCTGTAGAAAACATGAGAATTGCTACGGAAATAGTTACAGACTCGAAATCCTTTGGTATATTGCTACCGGTATTTCTATAGAAAAACCATTCGTAGCAAATTTTCAACGAAATTTTTTACAAAAATACTTTACTTTGTAGTTCTGCTACGGAATTAAATATCGTGGTTAATTTGCAACATAAATATTTCAACGGAATAGAATTCCATAATTGTTTCGCTATGGAAGTAGCATTCATAGCTATTTACCTATAGAATTGTGCTACAATATTTTATTTTCGTTGCTTGTTTTGCTATGAAAAAAAAGCCTAGCTACGCTGTTAGGAATTTTGTTACGAAATTAAATTACATAGAAAATTTGCAAAGGAGTTCAAATTCATAGCTATTTAGCTATGAAAATTTGCAACGGAAATAAAACTCGTGGAAGTTTGACTATGGAGCCAATATCTGTTGCAACTTTTGTTACGAAATTTGTTAGAAATTAATATTTTGAAGCTATTTAGCAACATATATTAGATACGAAAATCGATTTCGTAGATGATTTGCAATAGAGTAAATGTTCAATATTATTTTGTGACGAATTTTTTTTACGAAATTAAATTCCCTATCAATTTTGCTAAGGAATAATAATTCATAGTTATGTTGCTACAGATCAATTTCTTAGCTGTTTTGATATAGAGTAAATTAACCGTTGATGTTTCAATACAAATATGTTAATGAAATAAATTATGTTCGTATTTTGAAGAGTTTCATATGTTTTCGGTACATTTTTGTGCCTAGGAGTTTAGGATTGAGGTCTAAGGGTTATAAGCACTAAGTAACTGTTTGGCAGTATCTGAATTTTTAAGATCTGAATGTTTAAGAGGTTTGAATTTCTAAGATGATTTGAATTTTTATGATCTAAATTTTAAAACGTTGTTTGGTGTTGTGCTGAAAAGTAAAAATGACAGTTTTACCCTTTTGTTTAAAAGTTATAACAAATATTAATAAAACCATAATTTTTTTTAAGGAAATCACATTTTCATATAAACATTTACCCCTAAAAATGACCTTTGTACCCTTTTTCACCTAAAATTCCAAGTTTTGGTACATTCCATACAAACATATATACAAACCTCCCAATTATAGTATTATTTTACATACAAAAATGACTTATCACAAACAAATTTTAGCTGTTTAATATTCACAAATGGTCCTAAACATGTATTCTTCAGCTTAAACCAAAAGGTAAATATAATAATAGCAAAAAACTTACGTTATATTACAAATATAGACAATTTCCAATCAAAAACATGCAAAATGGCAATCTACTTACCTGTTTATTTCTACCAATACACACATACATATGGTTGCACAATCTTTTCTCATCCAAAATTCAAAAGTAACAAGATTACAATGTTTTGTTCCCTCTATGGTCAATGTCAATGGTGACATTTATAACAACATGCCCCATAACTTCTTCAGGGTTTATCCGGTCACCACCATACACACCGCCATTATCGAACACTATAACCACCACATGTAACTCATAACATAACAAAGGCTACAAAATCACAACACATTTCAGGATCAAATTGGAAAAAGAAGCTATATTCGTGGAAAAAGAAAGAGCAAACCTCGATTTCCATGGCACTGAATCCAAAAACGGAATCACCTTCAACAGCAGCCACAAGCCGATCGGGTTAAGCTGATCAGGTTAAGTTACTGTTGCAACAATATAATAACCTAAACCAACATCCATTGTACCCCATGTTCCTGTATCTAACCGGGTCCATGGCTCCATTTGAACTAAAACGAATCGACCCACATCCATGGTGTTAACTCCTTCTAAAACCAATATAGGAGAGCATTGATTTCATTACCAATTTCAGTAAGAAAGCATTGATTTCAGGCAGAAATCGCACAATTTCATCTTATCTCGGGAGAGAATAAAGGAAAAATTGAAGAATGGTATATACCTAAAGGCACCTCTGTTTTGCGAGGGCGGCGTAGAAGTTGTTGGAGGCTAGAACCGGAGGTATGGGAGGGTGTCGCCAGAGATACGAAGGGCAGCGATGGCAGCGGATATGGCGGCGCCTGCTGGAGGCGAAATGTATGGCGAAGGATTTCAGGTGGTCGGAGTGTACTGGGAGGGAAAAGGGATCAGATGGGAATCCAAGTTTAGAGAGGGTAGAGACGTCGAAGGAGGGATGAGAAACATCAACTATCATCCGCCTCCTATTCCCTAACCCGATGGAGCTCTGATTTCATCTATGTTTTACCAAAAAACAAACAAGGATTGATAGCAGGCAAAATGGGAAAATGGTTAGCAACTTAGCATGGCGGCAAATTTGGCGCCCATATTTCCATCCCATATTTTTAGTTTATTTTCATATATTTTTTTTTTTTCAAAATTGTGGAGTATCAAAAAAATATTAGAATTTCATATTCTTTGTTAATTTAAATTCTTGATATATGATATTTTTTACAATGTTAGATACATTTTTATGATTTTTTTATAAGATAACTTTTAGTAGCATTATTTTTTAATTAAATTCCCACCTACCCCTACCTTTACCCACCCACCCCTACCCTTACGTTTATAGCCTACCCCTACCCATTTGACTTACCGTATACTCACCCATCTATGGCATATGGCTTAGGTCTTATGAACTAGGGTTTAAGGCTTAGGACTTAGGGCTTATGAGTTATGGCTTAGGGTGTATAGAGTTATGGGTTTAGAGCTTAAGGACTGAGGCTTATATCTAAGAGGTTATGGATTATAGCTCGGGGCTTAATGCTAAGAGATTAAGACTTTAGGCTTTTCAATTAGGGCTTAAAAATCAAGTCTTCCAGTTTATGGTTAACGGGATAAGGCTTAAGGCGTGTACATTATGGCTTATGGCTTAATGCTTAAGGCTTATGGATTATAGATTAGGCATAAGCATTATCCCTAGTATTAATCCTAAGGCTTAGGGTTCAAGAATTATGGATCATGGCTTATGCTTATTACTTATGTCGTATGGCTTATGTCTTATGGATTATTGCATATGGCTTATAGCTTGTGGATTATAGCATATGGGTTAAGGCTTAAGGGTTATAACTTAAGAGTTATGGTGTATGTCATCCATGGGTATTACTATACTACCACATTGACCCATGACCCATATATCATCCATGGGTATTACCATGACACTATAAGCAAATACCACATTGACCAATGACACATATGTCATCCATATGTATTTCCATGACACTATAACCAACTACCACATTCACCCATGATCCATACGTCATCCATGGGTATTACCATACTACCACATTGACCCATGACCCATATTTCATCCATGGGTATTACCATACTACCACATTGACCCATGGAGCATATTTTATCCATGGGTATTACGATGACACTATAAGCAACTACCACATTGACCAATGACACATATGTCATCCATGGGTATTACCATGACACTATAACCAACTACCACATTGACCCATGACCCATATATCATCCATGGGTATTATCATACTACCATATTGACCCATGACTCATATGTCATCCATGGGTATTACCATGACACTATAAGTAACTACCACATTGACTAATGACACATATGTCATCCATGGATATTACTATGACACTATAACCAGCTACCACATTGAACCATGACCCATATGTCATATAGGTATTACCATGACACTATAAGCAACTACCACATTGACCAATGACACATATGTCATCCATGCGTATTACTATGACACTATAACCAACTACCACAATGAACTATGCCCCATATGTCATATGGTTATTACCATGACACTATAAGAAACTACCACATTGAACAATGACCCATATGCTTTAGGCTTATTCCCTATGGATTAGGTCTTTATGACTTATTAGTTATGGTTGATTAAGGCTTATGAAATAGGGCTTATGGTATAAAGATTATGGATTATGGCTTACAGCTTAGAATATAGGCCTTATGGCTTAAAGCTTGTGGATTATATCTTATGACTTATGGCTTATGACTTAATGTATATGGCTTATCGCTTATGAGTTATGAGTTATTGATTATGGTTTATGTCCTATGGCTTGTGGCTTGTGGCTTGTGGCTTAGGTTTTATGGCTTATGATTTATGGTTTATGACTTATAGCTTAATATATTTGGCTTTATGGCTTATGGGCTTAAGGATTATGGCTTATGGCTTATAGCTTATGGCTTGAGGCTTATGGTTTATGGTTTATGGATTATAGCTTAAGGTATTTGGCTTTACTTAGTATTTTTGTGGCTTATGATTTATGGCTTAAGCTAAAATCTATAAGTCTTAACAATTAAGGCTATGTGTTATGTGTGTGGGTGTAGTGTAGGTGGGTGTGCATTGATGGGTATTGATAGATGGAGTATGACTTATTGCTTAAGGCTTATGGTATATAACATAGGGCTTACAGAGCATGGCTTATGGCTTAAGGCATATAGCTCATGTGTTAAGGTTCGGGGTTTAAGGCTTGGGGCGCGTGCCTTCTGGTTTTTGGTTTAGGGACAAAGGCTTGAGTCTTTGGGTTTAATCCTTATGGTTTATGACTTATGGCTTATGATTTAGGGCTTAGGGATTATTGCTTATGGCTTAGGCCTTAAAGGCTTAGGGCTTAGGGTTATGATATATGGATTAAGGCTAATGATTTATTACTCAAGGATTATTGCTTAATGCTTATGGCTCGAGGATTAAACCCTCATGGCATGGGGCTTATGACTCATGGATTATGCCTTATGGCTTAGGGCTTAGGTCTTATAGGGTATCAATTGGGGTATATATATATATATATATATATATATATATATATATATATATATATACATACATACATACATATCACATATATACATACACATCACATACATATACTCATATACATAGACATATTCACACATCACATACATCTACACATACACATATCCATATACGTATACATACAAAATTTTGTAAAAAAGTAACTATATATAAGATTTAAATTTCATGATGGCCATAAAAACATATTTATTGTTTTTTTAAAAGAAAACTATTAATGAAAATAAATTAACAAATTTATATAAATTTTTTTAGAAATCTTAAAATTGCATTTTTAGTTTATTCCCTCTTATTCGATTCAAAAAATTCCAGGTTCCCCGCCACCCTAAAAAATTTAGATCGAGTTTCACTGGCCCAAATTGCATTTAAACCTAATATCGATTTGTTCCATCCCCATCACATATTCAATCTTCCTTCATGGATCGTCTACAGCAAACCGACCCCATCTTTCTCCTATAAACTCATCGATCAGATATTAAGCAATCGGGAAATACCATAAGCAACCCACATGCCAGTCTCTCTTTCCTGATTTATGCCATTTCATTGTGGTTAGCCGGAACAAAACCAACCATCGTTCTAATGTCGTTTCCCTATTTTTCTTCTACTCTCCCCATTCTTCCATGTTCCACCATGACTCCTCATAATCACCTTCGATCATGAGTCACATCTTCTCAGTGACGCCCTACACAACTCCAATTCAACCACCGATATCTTCAAACCCTAGCATCTCTTTCATATCCTTCGGCGTCGGGTCGTGTCCAACATTCACCACCCTGTAAGTAAGTTAATAACTAAAACCATAAATTGATTCTTGGTTTTTCCGTTTGTAAATGAGGGAAAATGGATGATGTGTTTGACTGCTTTTCCCCTGTCGACTTTGTTGGACTGTTTCTCCCTTGGTTGTCTTCTCTCTCTATGTTCTCCGATTGATATAACTCTCTAAAACATTTTACATCTTAATATGAATGATGGTTTGGAAACAGATCACACACCTACAGTTATAAAAATCTGAAGTTGTATAATTGCTCATTATCATATTGTGTTGAAGGGAATTAGCGAGAATTTGGAATCGTATCAAAAATTGGTACCCGGATGTGCTCATATTAGATTTGTAAGCCATTTATATCTCACAATGTTTTAATCGATAATCCACCTTGATATTAGAGGTTGCAAGAAATTTGAGTTTTCTGAGCTTTGTTCATATTGTTTGTTTTTGTCAATTAGAAAGGATATTTATGAATCTTTTTGGAAGAATAATTCATGGTTTGTATATTATTGTGTTACAAGTATTTATGCAGAACTGGATGTTTACTTTTGTATAGTTCATTTTCATGAAATTTCTTGATCATTTATATAGCTTCACATACATAGGATGCCAGTTAAGACTTATGCAATAGTCTTGAAAGAGAATGAGGAGGAAGTCATTGTAGAAGAAACATTTCAACCCAAAACTTCTCCCGATGAAGAGAATAGAAGTCCAAGTGAGCCCCCAAATGATGAAATGGAAGAATTGAGGGAGCTTGTCGCTAAACAAAAAGAGCAAAATGAAGAGCTTAAAGAAATAATGAAGGCCCAAGAATACCAATACAACACAAGAGTCGAGCAACTTGATACACAACTTAAATGGTCAATAGATATTATTAATGTTATTAGAGAACAACAAAACTAGTAGGTCATAAAGTGTTGATATGTTTATTATAAAGTATTTATTTTAGAGTAGCCACTTTCTATTTTTCATGTAATAAATAATTATTGTATTATTTTATGATATAATGTTATTTGATTTTTTTGTTATTTTTGTTTTTCATATATTACTACAAAATAATTTGGGTTTAATTTATAAATCAATTATCCATCCGTGCATATGGAATCTTTGCTATGGAATATGCAATATAATATACACCATAGAAATGTTAGAGATTCATCACCACGAAATTTGCTAGGGAATCACCACCACAGAATTTGCTAGGGATTCATCACCATGGAATTTGCTAGGGAATCGTCACCACGAAATTTGCTAGAGATTCACCACCATGGAATTTGCTAGAGATTCAACACCATGACATTTTCTAGGGATTCGCCACCACAGAATTTGCTAGGGAATCATCACCACGGATTTTGCTAGGGATTAACTACAATGGAATTTGTGATGGAAGAACTACTACGAAATTTGTGATGGAATCCTACTACGGAATTCACGACAAAATACCATCTACAATGGATTTCATTTCGTTGTCACAATTGAGACTGAGTGATTGTTTCCCTAGCAAACTCTCGCTATGGAGTTTTTTAGGACGAAAATCGGTCGTCGCAAATTCCGTCGCTTTTCGTCTTTTGCAACGGAATTTCATCTTTTCGCCACAGATTCCTTCCTTAGCAA